GCCCAGCCCGCCGGGCAGGCTCGGCAGCTCCCAGGCCGGCCGCGGCGGAGCGCGGGAGGCTAGAGGCAGCGGCATCTGACGCAGTCTGGAGCGGTCCAGGTCCAGTGCTCGCCGCACACGGTGCCTACGCCTGAGCCAAGTCACGCCCTCCCCAGAGAGAGGCCCCGAGCACACACACTCTGCAGCACTCGGCACATGTGCCGAGATCACTTCACATCGGACCAGCGGTGCCTCGTTCATCCCTCGACGTGGCGTGTGCTTCGGCGTGTGGATGCGGATGTGTGCGTGTTCGTGCGTGGGGTACGGGTGTGTGTGGGGAGGGGATGGGGTGAGTGGTCCCCGAGCTAGAAGCCTTGTAAAGGCACAGGGTCGTGGAGAAGAGGCGCCTGGGAGCGGGCGTGGGCAGGGCGGGGGCTGCGGCCGTGTGTTTGGCCCCCTCAGCCCCTTTCCCGTCCTACGGAGAACGTGCAGTGGCTGCCAGTGTTGATTTAATTTCGCACAAACACGCTCTTCGAGGCTGAAGCAAATCGGACTGGTTTTCAACGTGAACGTGAAATATAAAAACCGTCCTTGGAGATATTTCTAACCAGAACTCGTTTCTGATCCTAACATAACAGAAATGTCTCCCTAAATCGGAATTAGCAGATGAAGTTTTGGCTAACGACTATTCGAGAACCACCTTAACGTCACACGTAGGAACGCTGTTTCCTGGGGTTTGACGTTTTCAGCGATCGAGAATGACTATGTTTTGTCAACAGAAACACCGCTACCAAAAACAGAACGCTGTCAACAGAATGATGTTATTCGTTCCCAAAGACCATCGCTATATTAGAGCGATACAAAAGTCATGATTAAAAGCGATATTTCGTGGCAAACTCTGGGGGTGAGGACTGTCACCCGCGAGCTATCTCGGGGTCAACGCTGCAGCCACGTGTGCCGCCGCCGAGTGTTCTCGGGGCAAACGAGAAATGGGTTCAAAGAGACCCCTGTCCCTGAAGCAGTTTCACTGACAATGTGTGGGTGCCTGTCTGTGTGCGCAGGTGGGGCGCAGCGGTGGGGGCGGCGGGCCTCTGACCAGGTTCCCCAGAAGGCCGAGGGGCCTGGCAGTGACTGGCCGTGAGGCGGTGTGGCTGAGGGTCGGGCAGAGCCGGCCCTGGGAGCCCGTGGCCCCCCATCTGCTTTATGGGGTGAGCACGGGGCTTCTTCAGGAGGATGGACAAGACTCCAGGGCCTTGCCATGCACAAGGCTGGTGACAGCCGCACCCCAGGGGCTTCCCTTTGTTGCGTGTCCACCACCGTCCTTCTGACAGCAGGGGAGGTAGAAGCGTCCAGCCTGGGCACGCACCCCGACTTCTGCCCTCCAAGC